ATATATATAAATATATATATATATATATATATAGCCCACAGTGATAATATTTCTGGATAAAAATATTTTTTTAATTTTGTCATATGGCACAAATCTGCGCTTGATGAACAAATATACGAAATTAAGATTAAAAATAGCTAAAATGGTTACAAAAAGATATACAATATAACGATTTTTGCGACGTTTACGGTGCCGAAACGTTGTTTTATTGAAATTATTGTGCATATTCTTTGTACCCAATTTTAGCTGTTTTTAATTTTTAAAGTACGGGGAACATCTCCAGTATTTATACTGAAATAGACCAAATTTTAAAAACCCAGAAACATCAGGTAAACTCTACAATATATGCTGACATTCTGAGAATACTACATGATACTATGATATTTCATAAGTGTTTTTGGTCATATAAGCTTTTCTTAAGGAATTAAAACAACAACAACACAACGCTCATACTAAAAGTTTTCTAATTTCAAAAATTATGCAATTTCTTGCAATTACGAAATGAGCATGTTGTGGAAAAATTCTATACGTGCACGTCACATGACACTTTCTCACTGATAGGTAGGTGGAGCTCCATAGTTTTAATCAGTAGATGCTAACTTGATGTCTGAACACATGATTAGTTATTTTAATTTACGGCATGATGGTGTCGATTGTGCAACGCTTAGTTTTGTCAGTGACTTTGTTGTTTTGTTTAACGAGTGTTTTATGTAATGCACCTACAGATATAAAACTTGATGAAAAGGCGAAAAGAATTCACCGAATTGATTGTTTGAACATACTTGTGTACGTTCTTCTTCTAATTTTGACAGTTTGTACGATATGGCTTTTCAAACGAAGACGGGCTAGATTCTTGCACGAAACCGGATTGGCGATAATATATGGTAATATAATGTTCGAATTTTATGTAAAAAATAACTTATGTTTCGAGTAACATAAATACTCTTAAGATCTCTTTCAAGAATTTTTTTAATTTAATACGCCGGTGTAGCTATATCGGCGCCGTGTTTTAGGTCTTTGTGACCTGAGACTGAGAGGGTCGGGTATGTTCTCGACCTTTTCCTCCTACCGGTATAGCTATAGTATAGATACCATAGCTTAAATATAATGATATATACATCAGTATTCCCATTGGTTATAAATATAACCAGTTACTGAATTAGTCATGATATTTTGTTCACTGTTGTTTATTGTGACACTAACTGATCATGTCATAAGAAGTTATTTAACGGTTAACCTGTGAAAAAGCCTTTTGTATTTAAATTTTAAATCAAGCAAACTACTTAATTACCCTTAAATTGAATGTTTTTGAACTCGTTGCTCTAGGAAGCAATTTTGGAGTGGTCAGGCCATTGCCATGTTGCTATTTTTAGGGGGGTTCTGGGGACATGCTAATGTATTGAATTAAAAAGAGCAAGTTCTGTTCAGCAAATACTAGAGAATGTGTTTAAGAAAATTAAATTAAAAGGTTGAAGCTTACGAAATACAGTCATTCATTCATGTTTGGTGTACCTACATAAATGTAGTTATAAAATTAGATGTGACATCAACAATTTGTATAAAGCAAAATGAAGAAAGTACAATGTAAGCAATATTATAATAGTAACTTATAACTGTTTGGTATATAAACTTTTGATTGAAGACATAAATTAACTTCAGCTGGCTTGACATTAATTGTAAAAAGCAAAATAAGTTGTATCTAGCAATGTATGATATATATAGACGGTAAATATTCATTTACATGATTACATGAAAAAATGATGATTATTCTAATAAGTGGAATATCCATGTGAAACTCTTACTAAAACATTTAAATCAACATTGACATGTGAATAAAAAAAAAACAAAAACAAGGAAGGTTTTAAAAATATAAAAATTTGTTAGGAGCAGTTGCTACTTACAAACCCTTTGTTTTATCATACATACAGGCTTGTAACTACCCAACCACAGTTATTCATATGCTTCAAAGATAATTCTAAAGTATATTTGTAATCGTAGCCCAGTTATTTATAAATCAGTCATAGACAATGTTATCCAGTATACTTCATATATATATCTTTAAATAAGGATGTTTGATATGTTTATTATACCTTCATCCTCATAATGAATTTTTATTTATCTGGAGCAGTATGTGTTAATAAATCCTATTGTGTTTTTTGTACTAATGAACAAAATGACAGAGGAGTTCTTAGCTCATTAAGAAAGAACCATTGGGCTAAATCAGGGAATTTATTATTTCCTGAAAAGTAAAGGATCGGGTTACATATTTTCATTTTCAGAAGAGTGGGTATATATTTGATTTTTAACCTATTATCTCTCTTCAGAATACTAATATACCTGTATGAACGGAGATATATTTTCTTCAGAATTATTCCTTTCTTTTATCTTGAATTCACATTCTTCTGAGAAATCTTCATTCATAAATGAGTTCTTCCACTAATTTGTGCCCAGATCTTGGTGAATGTACTTTTCCTTTTCCAGAGTAATTTACCTGTATGAGTCATGTTTTTTGGTGCTAAACTATTCAGTATAGACTTAGAATGTCATTTTTATCTTAGTCTTAATTGTGAGTACAAGGTTGGAAGGTATGACATGGATACAGTCACTGTGGGGTTCATCTTGAAGTTAAAGGATTTGGAAAGAGAGGTCACCTGTAAATTTAAAATCATATCAAAACAGTACAAGAAAACTTTGAAGCAGAAGAGATAGTAAGAATATTATACTATGTTCCTCCCAATGTAAGCACTTTCATTGTTTTATATTCTTCAGTTATTCAGAGATTTAGATGTGATTGATCAGACCCCAACCAGTGAAAGCCAAAAGAAATGGTTGAAGAACACTTACTGTTGTTTCTACTAGGTGCACATGGTGAAAACCATTCTTATTGTACAAATCAAGGTCAAAAGGAAATGGTCCTGAGCAAAGTTAGCCTTGCTTTTGAAAAAATATTTCATGATCACCAAAACAATTGTTTTAGGAATTTTGGTGCATTTTTTAAAGCAAGACTTTATAAGCCCTTCCCCTTTCTAAATCCATGCTGACTATCTATGATAACACAAAATTTTTCTAAGTACTCTTGTAGAATATTTAATTACAGACTATATTTTCCTAACTATTGATGTAAGACAAACTGCTCAGTAATTACTTGGACATTTTCTACTTCACCTCTTAACAACTGATGTAGAACTGGTCAATCTCTAATCTTTCAGCATCTCACCACTTTTAATGATCTTAAAATCATGAGTTAATTGAATAGAAATGGCCAGGTTTAGACGGTAACTTTGAAAAAAGAGAAAATCTGCTAAACCAATTACTGAAGTAAAACTAAGCAAAAGTTCGGTCTCATGAATATGTTAACTGTCATTAAAAATGTATTTCATCTATATATGGACAATGTAGAGACTTCTTAAGAAGGGATTGTCTGTTGGGAAAGGAGGTAAGCTTGTTAAACAGACTAAGAATAGGTTAAGTGGTGCAGAATGAAGAAGGTAGTTGTTAATGGAGTGAAGTCATAATGGATTAATGTTACAAGTTGTGTATCTCGGATTTCTGCAATGGATCCTTTGCTGTTTCCTATTTTCCATTTTCATTAATCACATTTATAATGGAGTAGCCAGTTAGTTGGTTAAATTTTCGTATGTTAAATTAATAGGATTTTCTAACTGTACTGAAGATGTTGCAGTATTGGTGATATACACTAACACATAGCAGCTGCCTTTTAATCTTAATAAAACTTAATAAAAGTAAGGTTGTGTATATTAGTTATTGCAACTTTATTTTTTATAGTCTTGCTGGGGAAATTTAGTGAAGTTGATGGGAAAAATGAGCTGGATATAACTATTAATAAATTTCTAAAGACTTCTAGGTAATGTACATTAGATAGTAATAAGGTAAAAAAGTTTATGGAGGTCATCTTATTTAATTAAGAACGTTGAATTTTTAGAGGGTTCAGGGATGAGCTACTAGGATGATTTCAAGTTTGGAGGATGTTACATGAGGATGGATGGAAATCTCATAACATGTTTTTACTGAAAAGGATAAGGGCTTTGAAATTCATAAATCCAGATGATATTTTTACAAGAAATGCTACGGGCAGTAAGACTAAAGGACAAAGTGTAAGATGTGGGAAAACTTAAAGTAGTGTTACTTTTCTAATAGAGTGGTCAGCCTGAGGAATAGGTTCCTTACAGGTGTGGTAGAAACTACATTGCTGCAGCCTTGATGGAGTTTAAGAGGTGATTGGATGAATGTTCCAGAGATCAGGGTTAAATATAACAAAAGGAGGTTCTATGTATAACTTGTTGTATAGTGGTAGAAAATAAGGCAGCCTAGATGGGCCAAATAGCCTTTCCTTATCTCTTGGAAATAAAATTTAAAGAAACCTGGCAGTTGAGTAATAGCTATAAGTGTGAAAGGAGGTAAGTATTTATTGGAAATACATTTTTGATTTAAGAAAATGATAACATTTTGTCACAGAACTAGTTCCTTCATAACTCGCATTATACTAAGAAATTATAACCCACCTTAGTTTTGTTTTTATAGACAGATTGTCTTTTTCAAGTCAGTCAAAAACCTGGTCATGACTAGCATCTTTTAAACTGGGATAGATGAACTAAGTATATTTGCCAAAATCCAGCAAGTCTGTGTAGCTTACTACTTCAAGCACTGTAACATTATATAAAAGTATCTGAACACCATGATGTGGTATTGGATTATGGTTAAACACACCAATAGAATTTTAGCTTAGCAGTTAAACTGTGAGTTGTATTTTAGTCATAGAATATTTGTTTTAACAAAACCCTTTAAATATAGAAGCCTTTGATTCCAAGAACTTTCATAGTGTATTCTGGTTTGAGTTTCAAATTTTACATAGCATATCATGATCTTAAGATAGATCAAGGTAACAGAAAGCCATTTAACTCGTCAAAATTGCCCATTCACTCTACACACAGTCACAAAGACCACTAAAATTATATAAAAATTTTCATATTCGCATATCTATCCAATAAATATTTGAATTTATTTTAACTGATAGCACAACCATTTTGTAAGTTTATTACTAACTATAGTACATTTAGTCTTGATTAAGGCTTCTGAAGCATTTATAAGAGGTTTTCTGTGTACGATCATTCTGTGTATTAGTTCTTCCCAGTATATAAATATCCATCTTGTAAGATGTATACTAGATCTCAACATAGTTTGCTGAAAGCCTCACTAGTTTATACTTAGAATAAATTGTATAAATAGATTCTGAAACTTTATTAGCTTTTTTATGTCATCAAAAACTCAACTGAAGGTTTTAACAATGGTAATTCTTTCTTCACAATATTAGTAAACATTTTACTTAATTTTTTTTCTAAGTTTCTGTACTAGAAGTGAATTATTTGATACTTAATAGTCAAAACTCATTTTCCACTTTTTTACTCACTCACTAAGTTTTCTGATACCATTTTCAAAATAACTAATATTCATCACAGAATCACATATTTTAGTTTCTTAATGTCATCAGTGAATTTGGAAATATTATTCTCCAAACTTGTATTCCATCTTTTAAACATAAATAATTATAAGAACTAAACCAGTCACCTGAAAGACTAGTATCTTTCTTGCAATCAGGATGACACTAATTTTTATTATCATCAAAACAACATACATTCCACTTTTTAAATCTCCAAAAATTATTTAGCAAACAGACTTGTTAGTTATGCAAGTGGCTTTTTTCAAAGCCAAAATATATATGTTAAACATCTCTTGGATGTCATTGTCCAAAAACCCGTCATAAAATCGAACAACTTTTCTAAATTATTTCTTACAACAGATTTTATATATTTACTAACAATGGAAATCAACTTAATATGTTTGGGACCTGTATCTCATGACCTGC